AGTTTGCATGTTCTGTTACAACTATGTGTGCTGTTCATCCCCCGGGAGTTGCCCTGCACTACTACTACATGTCCCCAAAACTGTAGTACTTGGATGAGTATGAGTCAGAAATGAACCAAAGTAACTCACTGATTCACTCTGTACCAAAGACAGGAAAAAGAACAGTGAACTCTTGGTAGTTGAAACTGCACATCCAGAAAACGCATCCATACTCCTTTTACACCCAAATCTGCTAGCTTGGTCACAACTTTGGGAATGCAAAGCAATTAACAAATTTGTACAAACTTTTTGTTCCATTTTTCTTCCTTCAACCTGTTTATAAAATACGTCACTAAACCCGAAAAACTCCCAGCGTCTACTTGTCTCTGCCTCTCATACAGATGTACAAAAATAGCAAAGGCTCAGACTGTTACTTCTGACAGGGGTCAGACTGTTTCATAATCTGGAGCAGTAACTTTACAGTCTTGGCAGGTTGCCTTCGCATCCATTCATTACCTGCAATGGCCTGCAAACTTCCTGTGCACTGAACTTAACTAATTCCTGCCTTAAGGAGTCAATCTGCAGCCAAGGTTTAACACCATAGGATCATATACTACATCAGAGGAACATCATGTCCTCTATCTGTATATGTGAATATGTATTTGGTTTCAGCTGGTGTATGTATTTGCAATCACATTATTTTATTTGTCATCTCTACAGCCGAAAGACTTAAATTTATTTTAAAAAATGGACAAAGTTGACAAGGTTGGGAAACTATACAGCTGGTGAGATTTTTTCACCCAAACTTTTGCTAAAAGTAAAAAAAAAGGGCAGAAGAAAATGCGGTAACAACCTCTGTTGTACCTCCACACAGTTTCAGAGCTTTCTGTCGTCTAATAGTTGCATCACTCAGCCTTTAAATAGCAGCTTGTCTGATTCAGAGGGATAATGCTGGAAGACAACATGTAAAACATGGCCACTGTCCAGACGTAATTAAGAGTGAGGAAAGAGACAAGACTGCAGAGCTCATGAGATTTGAAGAAGAATAAAAATAACAGTGGAGACAAGAAGAAACCCATGAGCTACACTGACTGTCACATCCAGAGTGATCTGTGTCAGAGGCAGACAAGAATGGAGGGAAAAAAAAGAATCCCATCTCAACACGTTGTTGCATGTCATCAAACTGTGTCAGTGTTTCTGAAATGTTAATTAAACGTTACACCATGTAACTGTCACATTGGCTGAGCAGCGAGAGCAAGGATCACAAATAGACGTGCATCCAAATGGCATCGTCAAGGTTGTAAAAGGCACCCATACTAGATCTGATAAAAAAAATGATGAACAGAAATTTCATTTAACTACTGTAAAAAGTGTTATCATGCACAGAAGAGCCCTCAAAATGCCTGACCTAAAACATTAGACACAGTTTAAAGTGTCACAGTTTCTCTATGTAGCATGGTTATAGTTAACCTTCATTATTTTCTAGAAGAAAGGTCAGTTGTTATGCTGATGACCCACTGTTCTATATATGTGATAAACTGATTAGATAAACCAGGTTGTACATAACAATGAAATCAAGGGAAATAATTCCACCTAAAGGACAGTAATCACTAATACTGCTCTAATTTGAACCGCTGTAATAAAGAACCTTTTCTGTTTAATTCATCCTGGTCATAAAATCCTGTAGCAAGCACTGCTACAGTACAGACTACAAAGAGGAGCAAGGTACACCAGTGGGTTTTTTTTCCCTCACTGTGAAGTTCATTGTCGTCATTTTCACACACAGTCATGTGATAAGACTCATGAAGACCTATATTAATGTTGCTAAAGGCCTTGACTTCTTCAGCACCGGTTCCCTCAGTCCTCTAAATATATTTTTAAACATAGCATGAATGGCTTCACACACTGAATCACATACAGCTACATCCTGGAGAACATCAGTGTCTTACTTGTTCTTTGACAGAAGCCAGAAGGTTGGTGGTGTTGGTAGTACTGGTGGTGGCGCTACAGCTGCTGTTTCTCCTGCCTTCCGGTGGGAGTCCGAGGTCACCCGATGCCTTTCTGATCCCCATGCGCCTTTCTCCGTCAGCGTCTCCTTCCTCCATTGCCTCCACCTTGCAGCCTTGGACCTTGCAGTCCAGTGTAGGTCGTCTGCCTGCTCGGGCGGCCCCCCCCCTGACCCTGCAGAAGTACTACAAGAAGGTCAGGAAGAGAAAAATGAAGATATGATCTTGAGTATGACATCAGATGTCACTATTTGAAAGCCACATTGTCATTACCTCCTACCATCTGGGGACATTTGTAAAGAGTTTAATAAGATGTAAAAGTATTTCCCTAATACCAGGCACTTTTCCAGTACATCTGTTCAAGTACTTGTAAATGCAAATACACTTGAGGTTGAAAAGACCCCGGAGGAAGGTTTAATTTTTAATGATGTCCCCGTGCTTTTATACAGAGCAGGGAACGATCACACAAGCATTGTTGTAGATATTAAATCATGTTTGTTCTTTAGAAAAAACATGATAAAATTGTCAATATATCTAGATGGTTGTTTTGTTTTTGTTGAATATGAAAAATCCTCATGCGTAATAGTTGTTTATATTGTCTCTCTCAGGTTCTTCCAAAGTCTGTTGGTCTTCTGACATTGACCATAGTCTTCAGTGGAGTCAGAGCTTCCTGCAGGCCGGTCAGGAACATTCATTCTGTCATTCACATAATAGCTGTTCATGAAAAAGATACAGCTTGAACGGAGACATTTGCTGCTCAGTGTTTGAGGTTCACTTTAAAGAGGCTGTACGGGGTTTAACATCTCCAACATTCTTCTCCAAAACAATACTTTGGTTCAATGAATAAATGAAGCTGAAACAAAAACTAGTTACTAACATCGTGATTAGATGTGAAAAATAAAATCTTTTTTTTTTTTTTTACAAAAGTTCCGGGCATTACTATGCTAAAACATTACTAGTTTGCATAATGCCTCACTGAGAAGGAATGTTTCACTGGTGGTTAGTAATTGAGACCTTGTTATATTTGGGCTTTTGTGAAGAAACATTTCTTCATGCAAAGTAGCCAATTACAGAGCAGCAGTTCACTGCACTAAGTCCTGTGGATACGGTCAGTTGGCATTCAAACGGAGCATTAAAATAAAACAAGACAGGTAACTTAAGTGGCTCTGAACATGACATGGCTGTCTGGTTCCTGACAGTTTATATTTTCCTTAACCCTTAGAGTTTTGATGCACTTCCTGTAAAAATGATAAGGTAAACTGAAAACTCATATGACAAACATTCCTGTTATGTGTTTAAGTTGGGATCAGGTTTCCATAAAGGCTTATTAATAAATGTAGTGGCAGTTGACGCAGCAAAGATGAAAAAGAAGTTTAGAACACTTTCTGAAATGAAAGATGTGGCGGCCTGCAGCTGACTGAGGGTGTGAAGTCACATCAGTGGCCAAGGCACCAGGTCCTGCACAGTCCAGATCTGCATCCCTACTGAAATTTCTCCGTGTACCATTTAGATAACAGTGACCGTAGACGGACACGTCTTTTTTCAGCTATTCCACTTTCTTAAGTTGAATGAAATCCATCCTCATGTACTTAATAATTTGACATACAATTACAAGAAAAGCTTTTTTTTCATCGTGAATCTATTTTGCGCCAACATTTCAGGATATCAGGTTTACATATAAACATGGATGTAATTTCCCTCTTCTTTAAAAGGGGATTTTCACTGGTGCATGTGCAGAGAGAGACTTAACCCCAGAACCAGCTGCACAGTTTGCTGTTAAAGGTTACACGCTGCACATGCATGGATGGATCATCTTTCTCCAACACCACCGTGCACCGTCTTTCCCCAATGTGCCTCTTACAAACGTGCACCATCTCCTTCCATCCATCTATTCATCCATCCATCCATCACTCCATGCACCATCCACATCATCCAAGGACGAGGTCACACCGAATCACCGGAGCAGAGCGCAAAGGAAACAAGGGTAGACCAAACCGGGGAGCGCGGCAGCACTCGAACCGAGCCTGGCTCCTCTGTTGGCATGTCTGACTGACTGACTGTTTCACTGTCTGTCTGACTGTCTGTCTCCATGCACAGGCTGTCAGTGAGACTCACCGGCCAGATGTGATGTGGGAAGCAGGCCACAGCTGGATAACGTCCTGTTACGCATCCATCCTCCTGCTCCGTAGCTGTGACAACCTCCGACGCGACAAACAAACAGCACAAAGATCCTTCAGCCTGATGCAGTTCAAGTGTATGTCTGTGTACGTGTGCGCGCTTCGCGTGTGTATCTTCTAAGTCAGGTGTTCGTGGTGTGAGGTTAACCCTCCATCTACCCGTGCAGCGTCCGCGCGGCTGTAACATCCACCACCCACCCAACCAACCAACCAACCTCCAACCAACCAACCAACCAACCAACCAACACGCCCCAGTACACTATTACCTTTCAGCGGCGTGACGTCACCATGCGGCTATGGATTATTTCTCCTGACAGAAGAACCACATCAATCCATCACCGATGCACAAGTTTCACTGATGCAGCCGAACGAGGTAGAGGAGGAGGAGGAGCAGAGCTGCAGATCTGCTGGAGAGGAGAGAAAAGATGCACGAGCCTGCAGCTGTGTGTGTGTCCGTGTATGTATGAACGGGTATGCATAAAAATGTGGAAACAAACGTCCACAGTCCTGCACTAACAGAATATTATCGTCTTGCTGTCCCGAAGTCAATTCGTCTTTTAAACCACAGGGGAACGGTATATGAGTTTCCTAAAAAGAAAAAAAAAGGTGAAAAAATTATACAATCATATGAAGTAATTATTCCACAGTACGTTTTTAATGAGCTACAAGAAACATCTGCACTTATTCTTGGAGATTTAACCCCATCTGTATGTTCTTGTTTTTCCCTTACATCTAGGTGAAAATGATGACCAGCAGGTGGCAGTGATGCTGCAGTAATGATGCAAAGCTCCTGTAAAACCTGAGGAGAAAGAAGCATGTGGCAGTAGCAGGTAGAGGGCAGCATTAGCTTAGCATAGGCAGGCCTAAACAGGCTGAATTAGTTGTTAAATTAGTGAAGTTTCAGTTCATTTTCTATACTGCGGTGTTGCAGTTGTACCACCGTGGTCCGTTGTCTACAACTGGAGAATCATGGACTGCTAAAAGTTATTAATACTGACATGGAATGCGAAAGGACAGTCTAAATAAATCCATTAGTGGGAAGTTTTGACTGTGAAAGGATATTTAAAATACAGAGGAATGTGTGGGAAAAAAACTTTAAATGCAAACCTCAAGCAGTTTTTTTTTTTTTTTGGAACAGGATATGATGCCTCAGGTGAGTTGACCAAAACATACCATAAACTACCGCAAACACCAAGTTCAGTTTCACCCCAACCAAATTTCCCATTGTCCTTGAACTGTAACAAAGTTCACCAGACTTTGCGTGGGACTTGATTTTCTAATATTACTTGCGTCAAAGTATTTCTCAGTCAATGCATTTTTTAATACTTCTTGACATACAATTTGATTTGTTCTAAATAAAATAACATGTTGTGTTAATTGCATTCTTAGAAACCAGGTTTCAAGAATGTGTTAACAATTTTAAGTTTTACCCAATCAGAATGAAGAAACAGGAGTACACGTTCACATGCACATGCCCATTTATTTATATGACAATTAGAATAAGCAGAGAATTATGGGAAGCTGTGGATTCCTGCTCACTTTACACACCCCCTTAGTCAAACTGTTGCTTTTGCTTCCTCTGCTCTAATACTAAAGGAGCAGGAAACTTTTAGTTTAAGACTAAATACTGTAGTGGAATACTCAGTTCACAAACAATCATAGTAGTGCAAAAAAAACAAAAAAAAAAAACAAAGCCCAGTGTTTTGAGAACACAATAAAGCACCTGCTTTTAGGACGGCATTCTATTTCCAATGCTTTGATAAATTATGCATTTCTCATTAAATACATCTTATTTAAAAAAATAATAAGATAAGGGCAAACTCATAACTGCTGCATCATTTCCACACAGTAAGGGCAAACTCATAACTGCTGCATCAGAAAACCTAGGAAAATCAGAGAGAAGTTTTTAGACCAGGTTATCAGATTACATTCACTTTAGTTCACCGAAAAGTTCACTCAAACAGCAACTGTTAAATGTCTGAAAAAACATTAAGAGACGGCAATAAATCACTAAATTTAAGTGCTCAACAGTCTAAGTTGAAACATTTTCATATCTTAAAAAAAAAAGCCTCTTTCACTCTGACGTTTTGGCCTGTTTGGCATCACTGTGGTCGCAAATGTGGACTGGACTCGTTTCGAAAATGCTGCAGCTTTCCTACTTTTTCCACATGGGAATTTGTTCAACCAGGTGGGCTGCTGACGGTGTCCCAGTTCTTGAGATTTCTTTTTATACTTGAAAATGATGCAGCAGTAACCTGGACAGAATAAAATCCCAACAGGCAGCTTACAAAAAAAAAAGTTTGAGAAGAAGGGTTTGTTTTGAACAGGCTGTGCATGAAGACTTCATGAGCAGGAGAAACCTTTTGGTTGGCATGGTTATATAACCATCCAAAAATATGGCACAGTAATTGGACTGTCAGTAGGCCTTTTATATATCAGACAGAGGAGAAGAATATGAATTTATAGAGTGAATCACTGCCTAAAACCTTGACTTTCCTCAAGTTCGTTCAGCAGCTTCTTCATATATTATGGAATGGTGAAAAGTTTAGCTGTAGAGTAAATGACTGTTTAGCTGGAATCTACTAAACTTCAGAGAAGTGGTTTGCAGCAACCTAAATGTCACAAATGCCTGCCTCCTCTTTTGGCCCAAACACGCAGACACATCTCAAACAGTAACATCCTTAACAAACAGGAGCCCCTCGATTCGAAGCAAAACTAAATATTCACATCACTAGAACCACAATTTATAAGCACAAAAAGCACCTGAAACTTCACAATCTCGAAGTTCGTACGACTAGGTAGGGAATTGAACACCAGCCACCAGCCACAAGTCGAATATGTTAAACAGTGAGCAGCTGAGGCTGAGCTTAAATATTAATTTCCTGCCCACAGCACAAATCTCCTTAAAACCACAGTTTTAAACGAAAATACTGTGTGTACCAACACTTCTACTCAACGGAATACTTTTTCTTTAAATAAAGCAAACAGACGCCAGTACCTTTTGCATAAACATGAGTTAAAAAAACCAACCTAAAACTCAGTGGATGTACAAATAATGCAAGAGCGGCCTGTTCACGGTGTGGTGACACCGTGACGCATTTATGGACGACGCCCTACATCAATTCTTCCAGGTGTGAAACAGCCCTACTCCAGATCATCCCCGTCCTCCGTTGCAATGGTGCTGGTATGATCTGAAGTCACGCCTAAAGAGAACAGACGAGTGAAGACAGGTGTCAGCAGAGTACTGGATACACGTACATGTATAAAAATCAAATTACTAAATTCTGCTTCAACATGAACCAGAAAACAAGCCCCGAGTCATACTTGAAGTGTCGTCATCATTTGGTGACTTCTTCTTCTCTTCCACATAACCATGACTCAGCAGTTTAGACATACTGACTGGAGGAGCCTTCTTATCATGAGATCTGAAGAGAGAAATGAAATGGAGGAGACCATGTCACTTTGCTTGGCTACAACAAGGCAGTGGTTCTCTGTGCCACTGATGCCTAATGGTACTCAGGCTCCCTTTAGTGCTACCAGAAATAGCAAAGCAGTTAAAATTTTAAATCCATACTTTAATAGGCAAACAGTTAAATGTGCTTAATGTTTAGGTAAGATTTACTTACATTCTCTTGTATTTGCTGTTTAGGGACAGACCGTCCAAATCACTTGCAGCACCATCTGGAGACATCTGTTACACAAACACTTGATTACAACCAAAACAACTACAAATGAACTCTATTCAAACCAGAAATGAACTCTGGGTAATGTAGTCTGTGTAATGCGCAGGTTAAACAAAGCCATGATGAGGAAAGAAAAAATTAAATTATCATAAAACAACAATTGATGAAGTTAGACATGAAATGAAGACCATTCTTTTCTAAATCTCAATAATAAAAAAAAAATTAACTTAAAAAACATTAAACCCTGTTTGCAAAAAATAAACATTTTAGTAAATTTAGCAGAACAATCCCCAGTAATATAAAATGTTTAATTGAGAATTATATATCAAAATAGATACGGATAGTTCAAGAATATCTTCTGTAATGTTGTGGAGGTGTACAGCACCACAAATTCCAGCACATTTTACAACCGTTCAGCTGCAGTACTTTCATTCAACCTTCATTATGACAGCAGTGTTGAGCTACCAAACTCAAGCTATAAATAGACAGCAATCAAACTGCCCCTGCAGGGGGCGTTTCAGGCCTCACAATGCTAGTTCCGTATACTTACAGTATAGAGTACTGTAAACTTTTACTACTATTATTAGTTTGTGGTTGCAGTGGTGGAAATGCACCTGTGCACTAGAACTGTTCCAAGCAACAGGGAATTAGGCGTATGGGAATTGTAACCGTTTTGGAAATCCTTCAGGTTACTGTCTTTTTAAGTATCACCTGCAATTTTCTATAGAACTGTAACAAAATTAGACCCAATCCACAACACAAGGTAAAAAAAAAAAACTCATAAGATTAACAAATGATGTCAAACAAATGATGGATCAATGATCAAGAGAAAATATGATGACAGGTGATGGTAGAAATTATGATGATGAACTCAAAAGAGTAAAATAAATATGGTTTCCAAGTTGGGGGCGAGGAGGGGGGGGTCATGTTTGCTCCATTCACCTTATCTTTAGCATGAGAAAATGTATCAGACTCCTTTTCCCAGGAGGTACAGTTATCAGTACCAAACGGTGCAAACAGAGCCTGGCTGCCCCCTTTCGACTGGTCATTGGGAGATGTTGCTTTGCTTCCACTGTAAGCACAAAACCATGGTAACTCACCAAATGTTACTTTGTTTTACTGTTTTTTAAGCTCCCCTGTCATTTATAGTATGGACTTGGTGAGGTTTTTTGACCTGCTGAATTCGGACTAAGAGACAAGGTATGTGGTGAGACTTTGGACACAGAAAGAAACCCATTGGACAATGCATTTTTATAGCGATAGGTTAGTTATTTCAGAAATGATTCAGTCTTTTTACCTCTTTGACTCATCACCTCCGAACCATTTGGGTGGATCGTAGGCCTTTGATGGTTTTTCTTCTGCGTCACCATCAAAGCATAGCAGCCCTGCAGTGGGCAGATCATTACGTAAATATGTACAAGAAACACTACATCAATAGTTCAAGACAAGAACATACTGGACACACAGTACAGGCTACTGTAATTTACAGTTTTCCTGATGGGAGTTTGGCTCATGTCTAACCATATGACCCAAAGCAACACTTTAGACACTTATCACACCAACAGCAAATGGGCTTTTAAAATGTAATTATGATGATGTTATAAGTAAATAAAGACCTTGGGAAAAAATCTGTTACCAACTTTTACATAGTGCACGCTCAAAATATAACAATAACAAATATGACATACCTTTATGTCCGCCCTGCTTTGCAAGCTTAACATAGTCAGAGTCAGTCGCAAAAATCCCAACGCGTCGACCACTAGTCCTCTCTGCTGGTGCGGTTTCATCAGCAGTCTGTGACAGACCCGGAATCTGGGAGGTTGGTCCAGTTGCACCGCTGGCTGCAGCGCCTGGTTTAATGCCTGCAATCAGAGAAGAGAGAGTCAAGTGCTGGCCCTGAAATACCCTGGTTTTGACCACAATAATTTTAATGATAATATATTTTGTTTGTGCGGTGGTGTTGATGCAAGTGTCGCTGGGTGTCACGTGAGCTAAATAGAAATTCTGAGTTTTGAACTGGGACTTAAAGATAGGCAGTGATGTTATGGTACAAGGATGTTGTGGAAATGCATTATAGAACTGGGACAGAGCAAGTAAAAGACCTGAGACCCATGGTAGATAGGATGCCCCGGTGAGAGGAGAGAGGCTGATGGTGAGTGAAGGGTGGGAGATGGTCTGTTATTTTGAAGGTCAGGTAAATATGGTTGAATTGTAATGTAAGAGGTTATTTCCACGCAGTAACAGAGGGGGAGCCAAAGAGGCAGGGTTGTGTGGAAGGGGAAGACATCAGTGGCTGAGTTCTGAATGAAGAAATACTTGAGCTGAACTGTACAGTCACTTGGAACTCCATCCATGACCAGGCTGTTGACCAGTACTTGGGTTACAGAAACATCCACCTCTGGCATGTCTGAGGAGGTGATTTAGCACATTTATTGCTGCCTGAAGTCCTTAATTGATTTTTGTCCCAAATGACCTAAAAACCTAAATCAAAAGGCAGCATACGAGGGTGCTTCTTACCTCCAGGCTTGGTCCTTCGATGGTTGGGAACTGCAGTGCTCATTTTAACTATAAACACAAAATGAAGTCATGATCACAATGCAGAGTACAAATATCCGCATTTGCCAGATGAGATTCAAACAAACGTCAGGTTTGTTAAATATCATTAGGCCCCACAACCATTAAAGAGTAATTACACCCTTTTCACTTGAGCTGCAGTTGCGCGGCTTCAAGGCTTTGTTCGTATATGTCCGATATCAGAAAAATGCATAGATCACACAGACAAACCCAGTCCCAGTTGCACACACCTCTAATCATCTAAGGTGTAGTGAATTGCTACACGCAAAATCGAGTAATAACGTGGGTATCACGTTGGTACAAATCACTCCTGGTTTTTGAATACATTAAAGATAAACATACGTGTTGCCGGTTTTAAAGTGTTTCAATTGCACCTCACTGATTAGCATCGTGGCTAACAAAGCCGTGCTAACACAGTTAGCCGCCTCTCTTAGCTACCGCAATAGCTATTTAACTAAAACCTAATCGTACACAACGGCGCGGGTCGCTAAGAATGACGACTATAAATGCTACATGCACAGATAGAAAAAACGCATATTTCACATTACCTATTATTTGGTTTCTTTGATATTAATGAGCGGCAGAGTGCAATTCAGTGTGGCTAGCTTCTTCTGGTCGAGAGACTCGCACACTTCCGGCGGCACCTGCAGCTGATTTCCGGACAGCTTGACAAAGATCGTCTATGGAAAAGGGGTCTTGTAAGCCATCAAAATGTTTCAGGAATAATCAGATCGAAGAATATTTTGAGTTTGTGGAAGTTAGAATAAATAAAACAAAGTAGAGAAGTATGAATGCAAATTATACCCAATTGTGTAAATACACAGACAACGGTTTCATGCCACAAATGGAGACTTTATTGATTTGTACATAATTCGATTTTAATAAACAAGAAAGGATGTTAGTAGCAGCAATTAAAAACTCCTAAGATTAAATTTCTTCACAGTGTCGTTCATTAAGCAATTTAGGATACTCTGAAATACTGACGTATCTACCAATATTGCAACACAAACGTCTTTGTTTTAGATATTCCTATGAAACTAATTTCCAAATGAAGAAAATTGGAATACACTTATTTGAAAAATTATTAATATAAGATAGGGAATCATCAGTGCTCAATAGAAATAACAACAGCTAAATGTTTGCAAATACTAAATGTTGAATGATGCCAAAGGCTAGAACCAAGCAGGGGTCGATGGGTTTTTCTTTGACCTGAATGAACTCCATTCATCTTTGGAGATTTCTCAGATGTCTCTGCCGCAGTCAGGGCACAGAATGTCGTCTTTGCTCGTCAGAAAACCTCGGCCAACCAGGGACACAAAGCACTTCCTGCAGTTGAAGCAGTTAGTGTGCCACTGGCGCTGCTCAAAAGAGATGTACTTGCTTCCGCCAAGACCTGTGAGAAATGCATTGTAGTGGAGCCATAAATCCAAGAGCATAGACTGATCTCATGATCTTTGTAATATAATAATCCTGTACTTGACCATTATTGGATGCACAGGGTTAAATGAGAAAGGCATTTGACCCAGTAAAGGTTCAGCCACACTCACAGTTGATCTTGTTGTTCTGTAGTTCAATTCTTTTAGGTTTTACTTTTTAAGATGTTGGCTACATTTTCAGATGACGTCAAGTATGTAGTATTAAAACTCCTATGAAGGACACCATTAAAGGAAACATGTGTACAGTACACGTTAGCTTGGGTGCGGGTGGTGGGGGTGGGTTAACCCGAGAAATATGTAAGGTGAGGTTACATTTACCACTGATTGGGGTGGTGCAGGAGGCACACTTCTTGGCAAACAGGTTGCAGAAACACTCCAGGCAATAGGTGAAGTCATCCCGAGACGTAAAGCGCTGTCCCGCCAGCTGCTGCTTGCAGCCAATGCAGACGAAGCACTCCTTATGCCAGGGCTGCTCACGGTAGTTCACTCCTCCAGTGGTGATAGGCTGGAAGATCAAGTAAAGAAGAAAGAAGATACAAGTTGACGTAACATAACGTCCCTAAATAATACCACTTTAAACTGAGAGAAACTATGAAACAGACACTAAAATATATTTAGGAGGGCAAATGTTTGTATACACTGCTGAATGCAAAGTCAACAAAGCAGGGTTCTTTGCAGTTATTGTTTGCATTTTTACCTTCTTGCAGTGAACACACTGCAAGGCAAACAGCTTCTCGTAGCAGGGCATGCAGAAATTGTTGCCTTCCTTTTGGACAAAGTTCCTCGTGCCGATAGGTTGCTGGCAACGGTTGCAAGTGAAACAGTTCTCATGCCAGCTGTTGCCCTTGTGCTCCATCTTTTTAGTGCCTGTTTGGTGGATGTGAGTTGTATGTTTGTCAGAAACAGTTGCAACTGTATTTAAAATACTTCAACCTTGCAATACATTTCACAACAGTCATCTTTGCAAAAATAAACTTCTTACAAAACATTTATATCTAATTAATGTAGTAGACCTTATACTGGTGAGCTTGTTGCAATGGTACAATGCAGAAATATGGGAAAGGGTAAACACATTTCTGTCTCTTCACCTGGAACGATGGTCTTTAGACAGGCTTTGCACTTGGCTGAGTACTTGTTGCAGTAGCAGTCAGTGCACATCAGCAAATCATTTTTGGTGGCAAAGGGCCGATCAACCAGAGATCGGCTGCACTCCATGCAGAGGAAGCACTCGCTGTGCCAGTGTCGGTTGTCATATGACAGATCCTGGAGACAAGACAGAAGAGAGAGTTGGGAAATGTTTTGTTTAAGGAGAAAATTTTCAAATTGTCCTCCCAAACAAAAATGTTGACATGGTTCATCAAAAGGTGCACTTCACCTTGCTGGTACAGCCAATCAGCTTGTGGCACGTCTCACAGTTGTGAGAGAACAGTTCCTCGTAGCACTTGGTGCAGTACGCCTCCTCGTCCTTCAGGATGTACTTCAGCCCGTATAAGGACTGCTTACACTTTGAGCAGTCGCAGCTCTCCGTCATGTTGAGCAATAATACCTCTTAGTCCTCTGAAAAAAATAAAATCAAGCAAGCAACATACAATAAGTCCACTGAGCTGCTGCCAAAACATCACTTAAATAAAGGATGGTAAAGATTATTATCACATCTCCATGGAAATGCACAAGACACAGAATTATCCCTAACTGGATATCTAGAAATCCATTTAATAAAGTACATTAGGTACATTGGATTTTGACATGAGGAATGTGGCGAACAACCCCAGCACTGCAGCACACACCACAGGAAATGTGTTTCTACTTAAATGCTAATGGACCTGGTGTGACCAATAAACTCAGTTCACTGCTTCAAGGAAAGAAAGAATGTAGGTTTTCTAATAAATGGGGAGGTCAGAAATAATAATACACATGTATGTAATAAGGAAAACTTATGTCTGGAAACAAAATTAGAAGAAAAAATGAAAATACCATATTAATACTTTTTGGTAAACATTTGGTTCGTCTGGGAGAGAGAAAAAACAGTAGAAATAAGACTATAAGACTGATAAGAATGAGAG